GACCTTATATCGAGGTCTGACTGTATATATATTTTTAGTTGACTGAGTTTTGCACCAAAGCTACAAAACTCTTTACTGTGTTAATATCCATAATGCCTGTCTTGAAAAAATTTTTAATATAAAAGGTTTATGAGATAAGGTATAGACACAAAAAATAAATAAATAAAAATATAAAGTAAATAAATAGATTACATATGGTACACTATGAGAAAAATTTAGTAATATAATAATCATACTATACCTTGCACAGTTTGTAGCATAGTGACTTGCGATTTGAAGCATGATTTGCTGCTTGTTGGTAATAAAATCCTGGATGTTGTGTTTGTATTGCAGCCAAGCCTTGCTGTACAGCTTCCTCAAATAAATCTCCAAAATGACTAAATCTGAAAAGGGAAATATTACACGTACAGCATTTCAACTCAAAAAGATTTTGATATCAAAAAATAAATACTTGTAAATTAGCAGAATAGAGGAAAAAATTTAATCTTCGATAACAGTTACAATAATTGCTAAAATTACTGACTACTGTTGCACAATTACGGTCTTAGTTAAATTCAATGTCTTGAATGAGTTTTATTAGTTTTTTGTGACGATTATTTCCCTATTATACTGACTGATTTTAAATCACAGAAAATTTTCACCAAGTTTTTTCAGTACATCACCTACACTGTTATTTCTTAAGTGTTGAATTAAGGATAAAATAAAATAAATAAAAATCACCTTAATCTGTATTTTGATTTGTCTGTTTGTTTGTGGGAAGAAAAAATAATAAATGTCTTAAAAATAAAACTTTAAAATTAACACCACGTCTCTCACGTTAGACCTACACATGTCTCAAAATTAGTCTTCTAAGCTTGATAGTCAGTAAATTGAGATATATTAAACATATCTCATAAAATTAACATATTAGCCCTAATTTATACTGATTACACCCTAAACTAAATTACCTTAAATTGTTATCTTAGCTATCTTTTATTTTGTGACAAAAGAAAGACCAAAAACTCTTGAGTATGTTAACAAGTAAATTTCATAGAGAGGAAAAAAAATCCTAAACACTCACAAGACTTTCGAAAATTTAAACAAACAACTACAGCTATAAGTATAAAATCAAAAATAACATTAAAAAATACATTTAAAGGTATACAGTACATAAAATGTAAGACATATTAGTAGCGAATTTAAAGATATATATTTAAATGAAATAACTAATTCACATAATAGCTTTTAAAAAAGTAAGAAAGGTCTTAAAACAAAATAAAAAGCAAATAAAATATTTACTGTTTTGACATCCAAGCACTGTGTTCAAAGGCCAATTCTGGATGGCCAACTTTATTTTTAAATATATCCACATGATTTCTAAATTGAGAAATGGCATCAAGTGGAGCTCCATTCAGAAATGATAAGTGACACATCTAATTATAAAATATAACACAATTAGAGAATATATAACTTTAATAACAAAAAGGGACAAGAAACTAGTTCTATAACGCAACATATTAAACATTTATCGTAGAGGTGTACAACCTTTTTTCAGAGAAGGACATATCTTCCAACTTATAAAGGAATTTCTGTAGCTTGAAAAAAATCATTTTAATTGAGGTAGCAAAAGTAATGCTGAAATATTTTATTTATTTAGAATTATAATTATATAAATTACACAAACAATTTAAACAGATCAAATAATAAATTGGTAATGACCTGAAGTACTTTCAAACTTTTTATAGAATTTCTATTTATTTTAAAAATATCTGTTTTAGTTTGCTATCATTTGAAAATATATAGCAAAAATCTCAGGTCTTGAACAAATAAAAAAATATGTTCTTTGGCTTTAGAGATATAATGAATAAAGATTTCACATCCAAAAGTCATAAGTGAAAATATATTTTTTACTTTAAAACATTTTAAATTTTGCACACTTTCTTTCCTTCAATAAAATTAAATAGTGGCATGTTTTTAACTTTTCTTGTGGAAACTGAGTATAAATTATTTTAAATAAATACTTTACATTTTGTTTTGAATATGCTTTGAATAAAAATAATACTTTTAAAAGACTTGAAATATCAAAAGATATATGTGACAAGTGACACCTTGACACGTTATTAAAGAATTTTAATGTTATAATTTGGGTGTTCTTCAAAGTTTATTAAAATTAGTTTAAAAAATAGTTATAAAATTTCTGCTCATAGTAAATATTTCTTCGTTTAGCCATTTAGTTTTCGATTACATGCTTGATAGGAAATCACTACCCATTTAAAATCCAGATTTGGTCTTTAGCTTTTTCCCCTTTACTTTATAAAGGATTATAGGTAATGCTTTTTAAATCAAGCAAAACTAAATTATAACACAACTTTTCCAATTACACTTAAATTGGCAATATTTTATTGCAAAATATAGTTTTCAA